CCTCAGGCTGTCTCTATCACCATGAAGATACTTGCTGTCAACACTGCACTAGTTTGGTGTAATGCTTGCAGTTAACGTATGTGATATCATTGACACAGCACAGGTATCCAAATCTTTTGGATTCAAATTTTTAGAATCTGAGCTGCTCAACAGCCTCCAGGATGGAACTGCCTGCATCTTCTGTGTTGAGTGACCTGAAGCCTAGTTTCTCCTGCTTACCACCTGGCCTTAGCTCTACCAACCACTCACTCTTCCTTATTGTTAAACACAGTCTGTGTGAGGAAACCCATGAGGGAGCTGGCCTAGTTGGTGAGGCTAGTTTGGGTAAGAGGGATGTACCCGGTGGTCCTTTATTTGGGGGGTTCCTTGATGGGCAATTGGGTATCAGCAGGAGAGTTCAGATAGGAGCCTTGGATTTACTACCATTTTCTTTACCACCCTGATGCTCTGCAGAGTCCTCTATGGTTCTTGGGTCCCTGGGTTAGAAACACTTGCTGAGGTGGGGCTGACCCTACACATTGGGCCTCACGTCTGCTGGGAAACCAGCCAACAGGCTCTTCCTGCAGCAGAGAGCTCCATCTCCACAGAGCTGGGTTAAATGTTCATACGTGGAAACAGATGGAACTAGTAATGAACGTTTGGGCAGTTTTCAGGCCACAATTATGCTTTCACACATTTGGAAGTTGTCATTTCTTGATTTGTCCTCTAGTGATATCAATGAATCCCATATCCTTAGTTCAGTACAAGGCTGGCACTAGGGTGAGGCAAGTGAGGCACTTACCTCCGGTGCAAAATTTAAAAGGGTACCAAAAAACTTAGTAATCAAATAACATTTTAAATACAATATTTAAAAAATATAAAATCAGCAAACTGTGGCCCACAGGCTAGCTACCTATCTTTGTACATAGAGTTTTACTGGAACCAGGGCTAGGATTAGGGTGCAGTGTGGCAGTCATGCAGGTGTTGGTTGAATTTTGTCTTTAAAATGCTGATATATTGTTCATCAAGGGTTTTTTTTTTTTGCACTGTTTTGACTTTCTCAAATAATTTTTAAATAATTTTGATTTTTAAATTTAATTTTTAAATTAAAATATTTTTCAAACCCAGTTTTTTCAAGATAGCCATTTTTCTTCAAGACAACCATTATATCTTGGTATGGAACACAAGTGTTTTATGCATATTTCCTAATTTGTCACAGAAAATATTAAAAAGATGTACTCAAGAATCCAGATTTAGGGCTTCCCTGGTGGCGCAGTGGTTAAGAATGCGCCTGCCAATTCAGGGGACACAGGTTCGAGCCCTGGTCCAGAAGATCCCATGTGCTGTGGAGCAACTAAGCCCATGCGCCACAACTACTGAGCCTGTGCTCCAGAGCCCGTGAGCCACAACTACTGAAGCCCGCGTGCCTAGAGTCAGTGGCCTGCAACAAGAGAAGCCACCGCAATGAGAAGCCTGTGCACCACAATGAAGAGTAGCCCCGGCTTGCCGCAACTAGAGAAAGCCCACGTGCAGCAACAAAGACCCAATGCAGCCAAAAAGAAATAAATAAAATAAATAAATTTATTTAAAAAAAAGAATCCAGATTTAATAAAATTAATAATCTTTACTACTTCATGAAGGATATTATGTGAAGTTGACTTTTTTTTTTTAACTATTGTACACAATGGCCATAAGTTTTACTTGCCATTACTTTTACACCGTTAATGCAAATGCCAATACAGTAAAAAAGACCAAAAGCAACTGAGAATTATTATGAAAATACTTTTGGTCCCACACACCCCTTGAGAGGGTCTGGGGAAACTCCAGAGATCTATAGACCACACTTTGAAAACTGCTGCCTTAAAGGATAAGATTTTAATGATTTAAAGGTTAAAACCATTAAAGGTCAAAACCATTATCAATAACAAGCTAAAATCCTCAGTCAGATGGGGGCAACATAATTATGACTAACTCCAAAGTTAGTTTTGCCAAAATAAGTGGTGAAGAGTTAAAGCAAATTGATCCATCTGCCATATAAACAGTTCTAAGCAATCAGGAGGTCTTTGAAACTAAAGGTAAGGTATGAACAATATGTAAAAGAATCTGAATGCCTTGAGTATAATCAGTGATCTGAAAGCAGGGCCATTTAAGGGCAACCCATCCCTCGACTCCCCTGCCTCCGGGGAATGAGGAAGCAGAGGAAACTATAGCAATAGTGGGAAGATTAAGACAAACATACCACACACAGCATCCCTAGGCTGTTCAAAAATCCTGGGGCCAGTCTGCCTGGTAGTAAAGCTCTCTCCTGCCACTTCCTAGCATACAACTGTGGGCTAATTCCCAAACCACTATCTGTCTCAGTCTTCTCATGTGTAATATGAATATAATATTAAATACACCTTCCTCATATGATCGTTGTTGAGAGTTCATGAGATGATGTAAAGCACTGAGCACAGTGTCTGAGAGAATAAATATTTAGTGAATGTATCTTACTAAAAACAAGCATACTACTGTACTGATTCATTGCCCTGTGTTCAGTAACTTTCCCTCAAATGCACAAATGCTTAATTAGCCCACTGTCTTACTGTGTTAGGTGTTCAGTAAAGGTTACGTCCCCCCTCCAGCCAGACTGGGAAGCCTGTCTGGACCTGTCATTTCATCCATGCTGCTTTGAGTGTCATGGCTTTCTCACCAACAATTCACTGAGAAATCTGATGCTTAAATGTGAAAAAGTGTATCAATGTGCAAACTGTTATGTAGAAATGTAAATGTTTGTTATACAGTAGAATTATGCCTTATATTTTCTTAAAATTGTTTTTATTGATGTTGAAAACACGTTTAAAAAACAAAGGAATTGTTTTAAACATCAAAACTAGCAAAACATTTAACCCACCAACAGAAAAACATCAACCTTGCTTTGCTAAGAGGTCTCTGTGGTAGACAAAATAATGCTCCCCTATAAAGATGTCCACATCCTAATCCCCGAACCTGTAAATATGTGCTTTTGCATGGCAAAAGAGATTTTGCAGATGTGATTCAGTTAAAACCCTTGAGATGGGGAAATTATCCTGGATTATCCTTGTGGGCCCAGTGTAATCACAAGGGTCCTTAAAAACAGAAGAGGAAACAGACATTTCACCAAAGAAGACACACAGATGGTCAAGAGGCACGTGAAAAGATGCTCAACATCACTAATTATCAGAGAAATGCAAATCAAAACTACAATGAGGTATCACCTCACACCAGTCAGCAGTCAGAATGGCCATTATCAAAAAATCTACAAACAATAAATGCCGGAGTGGGTGTGGAGAAAAGGGAACCCTCTTGCACTGCTGGTGGGAATGTAAATTGATACAACCACTATGGAGAACAGTATGGAGGTTCCTTAAAAAACAACAAATAGAACTACCATATGACCCAGCAATCCCACTACTAGGCATATACCCTGAGAAAACCATAATTCAAAAAGAGACATGTACCACAATGTTCACGGCAGCACTATTTACAATAGCCAGGTCATGGAACCAACCTAAATGTCCATCAACAGATGAATGGGTAAAGATGTGGCACATATATACAATGGAATATTACTCAGCCATAAAACGAAATGAAATTGAGTTATTTGTAGTGAGGTGGATGGACCTAGAGTCTGTCATACAGAGTGAAGTAAGTCAGAAAGAGAAAAACAAATACTGTATGCTAACGCATATATATGGAATAAAAAAAAAAATGGTACTGATGAACCTAGTGGCAGGCAGGGCAGGAATAAAGATGTAGACATAGAGAATGGACTTGAGGACACAGTGGGGGAGGGGGAAGCTGGGACGAAGTGAGAGTAGCATGGACATATATACACTACCAAATGTAAAACAGATAGCTAGTGGCAAGCAGCAGCACAGCACAGGGAGATCAGCTAGGTGCTTTGCGACGACCTAGAGGGATGGGATAAGGAGGGATGGGAGGGAGGCTCAAGAGGGAGGGGATATGGGGATGTATGTGTGTGCATGTGGCTGATTTCACTTTGTTGTGCGACAGAGGCTAGTGCAGTCTTGTGAAGCAGTTATACTCCAATACAGATTAAGAAAAAAAAAAAAAAACGGAAGAGGAAAGCAGAAGTCAGGGAGGGGAAGATTTGACTATAGAAGAAAAAGGCAGAGAGAGATGCAACATTGCTGGCTTCGGAGACTGAGGAAGAGGCCACATGCCAAGAAATGTGGGCAGCCTCTAGAAGCTAGAAAGGGCAAGGACACAGATTCTCCCCTAGAGCCTCCTGAACGGAATGCAGACCCACCAACACCTTGGTTTTAGCTCAGTGACACACCCAGGTCGGACTTCTGAACTACAGAATTGTAAGATAATAAAGTTGTGTTGGTTAAGCCACTAAGTTTGTAGTAATTGGTTACAGCAGCAAATAGAAAACTAATACAGTCCCAAAGGTTATCCCAATCACCCTTGGTATGCTTCAGTGCACAATAAAATAAGTAGCCAGGTCACCAGGCTAGGAACTAATCATTCCCTTGGCTTCACTCAGCTTCCCAGTGCAGCTTCTGGCCAGTTAAATGCCACAAAGTAAGAGACTGACCATTAATGACAGTTCCCACCCCTGAAGATTTGGATTCTAAAGGTTTGGGACATAAGAACATCTATGTATAACTGGTGACTCTATTAGAGATGGTTGGTGGTCCACACTTTGAGAGACATTCATTTTACTCACAGGAGCTTACAATTTAGGTGCTAAGTAAACAGAATTCTAGTCCATAATAGATGAATAAATATGCATACTTCCAAAGAGAAATTAACAGCCAGGGCAAGGGTAAAAGGCTGGAAAAGGCCCAGAACACATAAATCCTTCCACATGCTTATGTTAATAAAAACGTGTCATAGAATTAAGCCAGATGAGATCTCTGTCTGCTCTCTCCAGTGCTTCAGGGCTCTGGAGCAGGCAAAACAGAATGCTGGCAGCCCTGCAGACCTCTCATGGAAAAGCGTCCCTGGTGAGCACAGCCCCTCACCTGTCCTACCTGTCCCACCTGCTTCTTTATGAGGTGGTAATGTGCTGGCCCAGGGTGTGTCATCTTCAAACTGAACCCAGCTGCTGATGGCTGAAGCCAGGTCAGGTGGAGGCGGCTCAGGGCTCAGGGGAGGGGAGGCCGCTTCAGAGATGAGGCCCATCTTTTCAGAAGAGTCATCATGCTCTGAGGGGGAAAGGTCCTGAGAGCCTCCATCCACCACACGGTTCTCCCCAGAAGAGATCTCGGACTGGTCTGAGGAAGACGATGGTCCTGGGAGGTGCTCTTCAGTGCCCCCTGAAACAGATACCAGAAACTGCCATCACATCATGTGAGGAAGGCCACTCTTCAGAACTGTCTCGTGGAGGAAAAACAAACGACAGGCAAGCAGTGATCAAAGGACTCACCATTACAGGGTGTGAGGGCAGAAAAACAGCCATGCCCACCTGTCTCCATGCTTAAAGAGTGTTTACCTTAAAATGCATAAAAACTATACCCTAGGATGTCCATAGCAGTCTCCATGCAGGCTGAGACTGGGAGTCTTGTTCACTATTCTTATCCTACCATCTACTCCAGTGCTTAGGGGTCACAAACAAAATTCCTACAGAGGCCAAGCAACAGATAGAACTAGGTTGAATTAGAAGAGCGAAAGGCAATGCAATGGGGAATGATGGAGACTGTGGCTCAACAGGAGAGCTTCTGTCTGGACTAAAAACATTCAAATTCAAACTCTGCGCAGTCCAAACAACACACATCTGTGGGCTACCATGTGCAAATCCTGCACTAATGACCAGCTAAATATGGCACAGAGGCCCTTCCTCTAGCTTTTGTATCACTGCATTGGTCCTGGAACATTTAATAGCCTTCAAAAATTTGTTTTTAAATAACAGAACTAGATCCCAATTGTGGTGGTGATTACACAAATCTATACATGTGTTAAAATTCATCAACTGTAGACCAAAAATGGTCAATTTTACTGTATGAAAATGTTTAAAAAATAAAAGTGCTGATGTGAAACTCCTTTCTCCCATCACTAGCCAAACAAACAGGTCTACCTGAATGTAATTATTTAGATAAGCACTGTCCTAAAAAAGTAAAAGGTGGGCCATACATGAATTTTAAATTTTCTAGTAGCCACATTTTAAAACTAAAAAGAAATAGGCAAAACTACTTTTAATAATACGTATTTCAACTCAGCATGTTGAAAATGTGTAATATCAACATGTAATTGATAAAAAACTGTTAATAAAACATTTAACTTTTACTAGGTCCTCGAAATTCAGTGCGGGTATTTCACATTTATAGCGCATCTCAATTCAGACTAGCCACATTTCCAAGACTCGATAGCCACATGGCTACTGTACTGGACAGCACACCTGTAAACTCACACTTTCCAGGTGCTGTAAATGAAGCTGGGACGATTTCAGGTGGCAGTAGCAGTGGCCGTGGAACAGAAGCAGCTGATGTGGTTCTGTAAATAGCTCCCGCATCCTACCTTGACCTTCATCCCTGATCACAGTTCCCCAGAAGTCAATCTAGCCACCTTCATCATGATCACGGGTGACAATTATGAGCTCTTTCCATGTGCCAGTCACTGCTGTAAGCACTTTACATGTTAATTCATTTAATCCTCACAACCACCCTGAGGTAGGTACTGTGATTACCCATACTGCACAGATGAACAACCACCCAGGGAGGTTAAATCAATTATCCACCCAAGGACACATCACTCATCCATAATGGAGCCAGGATTTGAGCCCAAGGGATCTGGCTCCAGCACCTGTCACTCTTGACAATTATGCTTTAAAAATTGAGACAATCCGAATTGCTGTTGGGAATAATAACCAAAAAGACTGAGCATAAAGTACTTTGGAAATAGGAAGTTAATGTTCATTGGAAGAAAGCAGCCAATACTTTTGGTGTTTCCAGGTCCTTGTCTGGGGCCCTAGGTTCTAAGATGTTTCCTCCAGGCTTCTAAGTGGAAGAATCTGGACCTGAAGAAAGTGACAAACTGGCTCTGTTTTCCGTATCAAGATTCCCCCCCCCCAACCCCCGCCAAAGAATGATCAAATAGAAGCCATAACAAGCAGGTGTGGTCCTTTGTTAATCTTTTCACTTAGGCGATGGAAGTTCTCCTTACCCTCAGAAGGGACAGGAAAGAGCGGCTCCTCATTGAAAGAGACCCACTCCGACTGGTGGGTAGCGATCACATGGTCCAAGGTCGTCATGCTAGGAAGGTGCTGGTCATCTTCACACTGCTGGCCTCAGGCAGACCCCAGAGCAATGCCTGGGGTGAGGTGGGAGTCTGGTAGCACAGTGGACTTGGGCCTGGGGTCTGTTATGGGGGTCTCACGGAGAGTGGCACTCAGAACGTAGACAGATTAGCCTCTCTTGCCTTTGGTTAATCTGCCAAGTGGAAATCTGTTTAAAAAATAAAAATTAAAAGGGATAACCATCACATTATAACCAATCCACTCAGGTCTTGAGCTTTCAACACTGCCCACAAGGAGGTCTGGGTCGTTTCCAACCTATTTACCTTTCTCTATCCCTGTCTTGCCTTCACTTCTCTTACAGAAATATCTGCTTTTAGCATCAAGATCTCTGTAGGTGCCTTCAAATCAGACATAAATAATCACGCAGATTTTAGCAATTAGATTCTCCAATTTTCCCAGTTACTATATTTTGGAAATACTTTTATCTATAAGGCCATCATTGTAGAACAAATATTAAAATTTTTCAAAGTGCTTTCACTTTCCTTTACCAGATGGCAAAATAAAAGCATGTTCTTTCCTATTAAATCAGTGTGGTTTGTTGCCTTAGGCAGGTAGCTCTTTGCAAGCCTGATTTAAATCTTTGGCAGAAACCCAACCATCTCCAGATGGTATCTCCAAGCATGATTTACCAATCAAGAAAAACAGAAAAGGAGTCATCTTGTTCATTTGGAGTAAGGGGGTAGGGCATATTTACTTTAGTGGAAAATGTGAGTTAAAGAAACACATTTTCACTCTAGGACAGTTTGAATTAGTATGTAAAAGTCTAGCCTTTACTCACATTGCAATTATGTTCCATGTAAGGATACTTAATAGCCTCATAATATTGCTTGTACAATTAATGTCTTTTTACAACTGGAACCTAACTCTTGATCTTATAATGAATTAGTAAAATCTGAATTAATGTTTCCACATAAGAGCTACTATCCACCTTGAACAGCATCAGTTCTTATTAACTGAATACTCACAATATTCACTTTAGTCTAGAATAATTTAACTTATAGCCTTCTAGCTGGTGCACAATAAAAAGAAAACATTGAAATTTTACTACAGGTTATTATCTGCAGTAAATAATCTATGCTAACGATAAAGAGAATAGAAACATTTAATAGCTTTTGTTTTGGTAATTAAAACAATTAGTTTTGTTGCATGATACTTCCTAAAAACAAGTAATGTTTCCCACAGAATCTATAATTTTCAGAAACCTATTTTCATACCATACTTTGACTGAATAGCCATCGTAGTTGGGTAAGTATTATTATAATTCTTTCACAGAGGAAGAAATCTGGGCTGAGAGAAGTTAAGTGACTTATCCAACACTTTTGCTGTTTCGAAGCCTTTGTTTGGTGTCCTAAGATTCTAATATGTTTCTCCCAAGTTTCTAAGTGGAAGAATTCACACATCCTAGGATAGTGACAAATGGACTCTTTTTATTCCACAGTAAGAGACCACCAAAAAAATGATCAAGTAGAGGTCATAACAAGCAGGTGTGTTAGATGCACCAAGCTAGGAAGTAACAGATGCAACACTTGAGCCCAGGTCTTCTGATGCTGAAACACTCTAATCTTTGGGTCATAGCCACAAAGAAAAATACTAGAGAATATATATAGACTACCACCAACTAAAGTACTTTACAGACATTAATGACAATGGAACCATAATGAAATGATCGGTGAAACTCCTCACTGGAAATCTGCCAGGGAATCCAAGCTGTGCGCAGAATGGAAAGTCCAGAAACCTCTCTTCCAAGTTCCTCTCCTAAGATCCTTACCAATCACAGGACCAGACATGTGCTAACAGCCTGGAGAGTGAGTGCTCCAAGCCAGATCTCACCAGAGAACCGGGCAGGGCCCACGGACCCAAAGAGCTGATTCCAGTGGGCTTCTCCCATTAAGCCTTTCTCAAGCCCGTCAAATGTTAGCATCACTGAATGTGGCAATGGCTGCAGGCCAAGATAAGACAGTAAAATTGAAGAGTCAGATTCCCCCTCTCCCAACAACAGCAGCATGCAAACCAGTTCCAACAACCACCACAAAGCCACAACACTACAAGCCCACATGCTGACATTTGCAGCATCATAGCTCAATAGGGAAAACATCCTGCCCTTCCCATGATGAGGAATCCAGCGAAATTCACGGATGAGTGTGGGTGGATGAGCAGAAGGGGAAGGAGAGAAGGAAAAGGGTGAAAACAATGGAGAAAATATCTAGAAATTTTAGAGCTCCAAGATTTTAAAGATGAGTAGTCCAGCTCTCAAGTTTTACAGATGGAAAACAAAAACCAAAAAAAACTGAGGCCTAAGGAAATCAGGCATAGTAACAACAGAGATTGAAATGGGCTCGGGAGTTCCACTGTCTGGATTTGAGTACTGTACGGTCTTTAAGCCTCAGCTCGTCCCTCTGCAGCAAAACTCATGTCATAATTTTAAGGATTAAATAAGATAACATACACCAAGTGCTTAGTACTGGGACTGAAAAACCTTATGTAACAATGATGATGATCATAGCAGGTGAGCTTACAGAGGGCTTACTGTATGCCAGGCTCCAACCCAAGCTCTTTATAAATGTCAACTATGGTCATCGCTACAGTAGGTAAATGACCCACACAAAGGTACACTGCTAGTCGAAGTCTTGGGACCAGAACACAAATTTCACAAAACCACCCCATTTCTGTCACTTACACATTCTGATTTTAGTGATTTCCCTTTTCAGTGCTTTTTAGAGCAGTTCTCCCAGATGCTAAGCGGAGTCACGCACTCAACCTCCTCTTTATAGATGCAAGTGCTTTCTGGCTGAGGAACCAAGACTACTACTCAGAAGTGTGAACAAAAGAAGAGCCCCCAAGATTTATCTACCCTTCCTCAACTTGTCCATCCCAGATCCAGACATGGCTGGTTACAGACCATGAAAAGTCTCAAGAAAGGCTGGGGGAACAAATTTATCACCAGGAACCCCCTATCATAACCCTGTGAAATGGATTCTAGGTATTGGCCATGAAACAGCTATATCCAGTGAACCCTGAGATGCCTGACCTTGAGGAGTGCTGGGCGAGCAGCTGGAAGCCCTCAGAGGAACCTGATCATTGTGAGGCTACGTTCACAACGGAATTGGTTTCTCTGTAAAAACCTCACCCCGTTTTTAGAACATGAATCATAAAGTGAGGCTTAGAATCACCACAAACGAGCAGTGACTCACTATCAGTAGCAGTGCTGACCAAGAGACACTAAAAATCTCACTGAAGTCTCTGGGCTGCCATTCCAGAGAGACGCGTCTTCCTCAGCTTCCCTTACACGATAAAATGGGGGGTGTGGAGAATGCAGCTGACTGACAAGATGGGAGTCCGAGAAATAGTTCTGCCTTATGCCAATCTTCTAATATGCATTCAGGAGCCCTAGGTGTCCAGAAATGTATCTGGCACCCTTGGGATATTGAGCGATCAAGCAGCTTGCAATCTAGCTGTGGAGATGAAGATGCTCATCAGGATAGCAAACAAATCTGGGAATAACTGCCTGCTGGAAGACACACCAGAAATGCTGTGACAATATGGTCATAGATCTGCAAGGGCTGGAACCATAAGGGACTAAGCAGGTTTTTGGATTTGAAGGACATCCTTGGTTCTGAACCACTGGAAGGGAAGAGTAAGGACATCCTTGGGCAGGGGTTAGTCTAAGTGACAATTAAGAATCAGACCTTCATGGGACTAGTTTTTGGACCAGTAAAGAGGTCAGTCTGATGACTGCTGACGTATCTACTGGAGAAATGTGCGGAGAATGGACTGATGGACCTTAAGAGCCGAGGAGAAGAGTTCAGTGGGAAATGGGAAGTTGGTGAAAGTCTACGAGCAGACAGTGACCCAAGAGATGTGCTTATGGGAGATAAACATTCCTCAGACTGCACCGAGCAGGAATTTGGTGATGGAAGCTATCAGCCACAACAGGACCCTAATGTGTCATACAGAGCCAGGGGCCAGCATCATCAGGGACATGTACTGGGTACTCTGTGCTGGACCCATTCTAGGGCCTGACAGTACAAGGAAGACTGAGACGGCATCACTAGCCTCTAGTAGCTTACAGTAGAATGCAGGGAGGTATGACAGTGACATAATAACACAATAGGCTCTTTAACCTATTGTGACAAGTTAGCCATCAAAACAATGACAGCAACCTTATAGAGAGTTAGGGTGTTAAGAGACTACCGAGGGCTTGAGCAGTAGGTGGTCATGAGCTGCATCTTAAATGGGAAGGGAGGGCTCTGAGAAAATGAGCAGAGGGGCAAAGGCATTCGAGGAAGAAGGAGCAGAAATGGCATGTCTAGTTCACAGTGAGTTACGCTCTGTTTATCTGAAGAGGGTGGGAGTGAGTTGACTGCACTGGAAAAGGAGGGGCTGGGACAGTGACAGTTCTCAATTTCAGGATGAGTTTGAACTCTTGAAACTACCCTTTCCGTTCCCACAGCCACTGCCTTGGTTCAGCCCCTCAATGTCTCTCATTCAGACAATTACTAGTCTATTACCTCTCTCCCTGCCTTCAGCATTATCCCCTCTAACCTATTATCCCAACTATTATGCCAGCGTGGTCTGCTTAAAACCTGAAGATGCCCAGACCACAGCTCTGCTTAAAAAGTCCTCAGTGGCTCCTTTCCTCCTCTGTTAGCCAGAGTCAGTTTTTGTTGTTTGCAATGAAGAACTCTGATACACGGTACCCTTCCTTGACTCCCACTAATCCCACTTGTTCCTTATCCACCATGTCTTCTGTATGCTGGTAGTATCTTACCTACTCTCATTTATCAAACGATAATGAACCTGTTTGTTAATATGGCTCTCATGTCAATTAGCCTGTGAGCTCCCTGAGGAAAGGGACTGGATTTGGTTCTTGTGGATATCTCCAATTCTTTGACTAGGGTCTGGCATTTAGTAAATGTTTATTGAGTAAATAGCTGAATGAATGAAAGAATGGACAAATTAACTTGTTTTACCACATAGTACGTAGCTTCTTCAGGTCTTCTGAGCTGGCAAATGTTTTAGAAAGGTAAATTCAAACGCTATGTAGGACTTTCCTGGTGGCGCAGTGGTTAAGAATCCGCTTGCCAATGCAAGGGACACAGGTTTGAGCCCTGGTCCAGGAAGATCCCACATGCCGCGGAGCAACTAAGCCCA